TGGGGTTTGACATTGGTATTGTCCGGGAGCCTGTGGGGATCCTGCTGGCAGAGGATGGTGAGGGTGTGGGGTGGGAGCAGTGCCGCTGAGGAGGGGCGGGACTTCAGGCATGTGATGTGTTTCTGTGAATGGCGGTGTTGCCTATTTGGTGTGAAATGCAATACAACCAGAGTGTGCTTCTGTAGGGATGAGATGCTGAAAGGTGTGATGCTGCCTTGAGTTGTGACTGTCTCTGAGTGAGAGAAAGGCAGGTGGGCCATGGTTTTCTTGGAGTGAATCACCCTTGGATGGTGAAAGGGAAAATGACATTCTCAGTGGCACTAATAATAATAATAATGATGATGATGATGATGATGATAGCGACTGTTTGCTGAGCACTTACCATCTATCAGGCCTTACGCTATGTGCTTCACATACGCAATCTCATCTAATGCAGACAGCCCAGAGAGGTGGATCTTCCTGCCTCCATATTCCAGACAAGCAGGCTGAGGCTCAGAGCAGTGAAATAACTCGCCTGAGGATTCCACACCAAGCACATGACACTGCCAAGATACGAATCTTGAAAGATCTCCTTCTAGAAGGGGGCTCTTAACCCTGGTGATGTTGACTTTGTGATAAAAAAAAAAATGTGGCTGGGCGTGGTGGCTCATGCCTGTAATCCCAGCACTTTGGGAGGCTGAGGCAGGTGGATCACCTGAGGTCAGGAGTTCAAGATCAGCCTGGCCAACGTGATGAAACTCAGTCTCTACTAAAAATAAAAAAATTAGCCAGGTGTGGTGGTGCATGCCTGTAACCCCAGCTACTCGGGAGGCTGAGATACAAGAATCGCTTTAATAACCCAGGAGACAGAGGTTGCAGTGAGCCGAGATAGCTCCACTGCACTCCAGCCTGGGAGACACAGCGAAACTGTCTCAAAAAACAAAATAAAACAAACAACAACAACAAAAAGAATGAGGGATGTGGCTGGGAATGGTGGCTCACACCTGTAATCCCAGCACCTTGGGAGGCTGAGGTGGGTGGATCGCTTGAGCTCAGAGATTTGAGACCAGCCTGGGCAACACAGCAAGACACTGTCTCTACAAAAAAAATACAAAGAATTAGTGGGGCATGGTGGTGCACACCTGTAGTTCCAGCTCCTGGGGAAGCTGAGGTGGGCGCATCACCTGAGTCGGAGAGGTCAAGGTTGAAGTGAGCCATGATCTCACCACTGCACTCCAAGCCTGGGTGACAGAATGAGACCCTGTCTCAAAAAAAAAAAAAAAAAAAAAAAAGAGGGACGTCAGGAGCAAGATCTGGCTGGTGTAAGCTAGGCCGAGGGTGTGAGATGTGTTATGTGTGTCTGTATATGGGTTTTTATTTTGGGGGAGTTGACAGAGGCGGGCATACAGTCAGGAGTACAGGGGTCACAGTGGCAGTGTAAAAGTTAGGATCTCTATCAAGGGGGCACTGTTTGTTATTGTCCCGCCAGACTGGGGTCATTTATTTCTGCAAAGAATCCCTGACTGGAGTTTCCATCCAACCTCTTCACCCAAGTCTTCCTGCCTTTGGTGCCTTGTTTTCCTCCCAGCGGCATCTGCCAGCAACTCACAGTGCCCAGAAGCGAGTGTGAACCGCCAGCGTCTCCACCACTTCTCTCATCTGCTCCCAGACGCAGGCAGGAGGGGCAAGGATATCATCTGTCCTGTCTGCCACTGCTTGCTGGGACACCCAGGAAAAGCCCTCACCCCTCTCAGCCTCGGTTTCCCCATCTGAAAATAGGGTCCATTCTAGTGTCTACCCACACAATGGAGCCAGCTGCCTGCATTCACCTCATGGTTCTGCTGCTTATCAGCTGAGTGACATTGGGCAAGTGACTTAACCTCTCTGTGCCTCAGTTTTTCATTCGTAACATGGGTTAACAAGATAGAATTGTAAGGATTAAAAAACTGATCCATGTCAAGCACTTCCCATAATAATTCAAGTTGTACTGTAGTATCATATGTGCTAGCCACAATTACAACTGATTATTATTCCACCATAGCATGTTGGGAGAATGATATGAAATTGCATGTAAAGCATGAAACAACAATATAAGTAGCTATTGTTACTATTTTCCTTGCGGTCATTTTTTTTTGAGACAGAGTCTTGCTCTGTCACCCAGGCTGGAGTGCAGTGGTGTGATCTTGGCTCACTACAACCTCTGCCTCCTAGGTTCAAGCGATTCTCCTGCCTCAGCCTCCTGAGTAGCTGGGACTACAGGTGCCTGACACCATGTCCCGCTAATTTTGGTATTTTTAGTAGACACGGGGGTCTCCCCATATTGGCCAAGCTGGTCTCGAACTCCTGACCACAAATGATCCACCTGTCTCAGCCTCCCAAAGGGCTGGGATTGCAAACAACAGCCACTGCACTTGGCCCCTTGTGGTCATTTTTATGTGTCCATATGGCAGACGAGGACACTGAGGCTCAGGAAAGGGAATGGGTTGACCTAGCATTCCCCAGCTATGAATGTACATTATCAAAAGAAGCCCTCAATTTTGGACCCTTGCCCAGCCCTGCCCCTGAGTGTGTTTCTGTCAGTGGAGGCCCATCCCTCTGCATCTCCCGGCCTCAGTTTTCCTATGGGTAAACAGAAGTGGGGTGGGAGACAGTCCAGAGGAGACAGTCCCTCAAGGCTTGTCCTAGTTTCCCCGCTGTGGAGGGAGGCAGGATAGCACAGTGGTTATGTCCAGGAGCTCCAGAATCAGGCAGCCCAGGCTTGGATAAATTCTAGCTCCATCACTTAGAAATCGTGTGACCTTGGGCAAGTGGTTTCATTTTGCTGAGCCTCAGTTTTCCTCATCTGTTAAAAGATGCTCAGATCATCCCTCCCAGGGGTCTAGTCCATAACCCATATCTCAGAATAGTAGTTGCCAAGTAGGCAGGTGTGACTGTTATTAGCAGCAGTGGCGTCAGTGTTAAGTTGTGCTTTGAAGTGATCAGATTTTGAGCATCTCAGCCCCTTTAAGAGAAAGGTGGGAACCCCCTACCCTCTGGAGGCTGGTGGGTGGAGGGCTAGACAGTCTGGCTGGGCTCAGGGACCTCCTGGGTCCCTGATCTCTCCAGGACTGGGAACGGCAGTGAGGCAGGAAGGAGGGAAGGAAGTCGGGGACATATTCATGTGTGTGCTGGTGGTGGGGGAGCAGAAGGACAGGAAACTCCCTCCCATCCCCTCCCCCAACTTCCCTTTCCTCCAATTTCTGCTGGACACCCTCACGGGCATCCAGGGGGTCCCTGATTCCTGTCCCACCTGGATGGAGGTTGGGGAAGGCTAGGATGGGAGGAAGAAAGTCGACTTGTATTCAATTGCAGGCAGGAGGTGGCAGGCCCCCACCCCACCCACTACCAGGCCTGGTGGAGAGGAAAGGGTGCACTCTGCCTGAAGCCATCCCTCTCCCATCCGGAGGAAAAGGCCAGAGGAAGTGGAGATTTTGGCAAGGTGACCGCGGGGAGGGGCTTGTCCGCTCTGGGGTCTTCCTCCTACCAGGGAGCTAGAGGGCTGGGCTCTGAGGACCCCAATAAACCCCACCTCTTCCTGAGCCCCCCATGAACTGTAGGACATGAACCTAGAGTTCCCAGCTGGGCTTTTTCTTCTCTGGTACGCATACCTCCTTCGGTCACACACCCAGGGAGGTCCCCTCTTGTCCCTCACACCGCCTTCCGTGGTGTCAAACATTGGGCAATCTCCAGTACACACACCTTCCCTTGTCAAACACAGGCAGAATCATCCCCCCATCTCTGGTGTCACACACTCAGCCATTTCACACACACACACCTCTCCTTGTTACACCCATACACAGAGCTTGGTGTCATACACACACGTGCCCTGTCACATGGGGACCCATCCTTCCTTCTCCCTTTTACACACCCTCGTGCATTTCACCCACAAGCCCCGGCCTCTCCCTCGTCATACACCCACCTTCCCTATTGCACACACCCCCTCTGATGTCACTGTTGCACACCTCCATGTGTCACACCCAGCCACAGCCTCTCTGGAGTCACACCCACACCCTTTTTTTGTCACAGCCCCTCACCAGCTTCTTCGGGTCCCATCCTGCCCCAGCCACACCTGTGTCATACACCCTGAGCCCCTTTCCTCTGAGCCACACGGCCTCTTCTGGCTCACGCCCAGGGCCAGCCCATTCGGCGTCCCCCACACACCCCCTTGCATCTAACACACCCTCTCACTCATGTGTCACACTCTCTGCCACAGCCCCCTCGGGGGTGACAAGCACACACCTTCCCTTGTCACACGTACCCCGCTGGAGGGTCTCAAACATGGAGCCCAGCCCCTGTCCTCTTGCCCCTGTCTCTCTCTCACACCTCCTCTACGCTGTCATATTCCTGATCCCTAATGTCACACATCCAGGCCGTAGAGGGCACACACAAACACGCAAACACACACACACACCTGTCCTAGCCTCACATTCTCCCACCTAGCTTTACACACCCACCCTTTCCTCCATTTCACCCCACACACCCACCCAGCCTGTCCCCACGCACGATCCTGCCAGGGCCACACAAGCCTCCCTCCGGGACAACCCATGTTCAGGACATCCCCAGGGAGGGAGGCTGGGAAGCTCCCGGTCCACAGGCCTCTACTCCTTCCCCTCCCCCAGCTAGGACACGCGAGCCCCAGGAACACCCCTGCCCCGAAAGGGTCATATCACACACCCCTCAAGGACACACAGACACCCACCCTGAGGCTCCCACGCCCCCCATCCTCTGCGCCCCCCAAGGACACTTATCACCCCCTCCCCCCCAACCCCTCTCCTCGCAGACAAAGCTCCCAGCCCCGGGCCTCGGCGAGAGAAGGAGGAGGTCCGGCCCCCTCCTCAACTCCCCGCTATGTCCCCAGCCTCGGGGAGGGGTGTCTCTCCCCTCCCCAGATCCCTTGCACCTGCCATGGGAGGGGGGGGAAGGATGGAGAAAGGCGAGGTCCCCAGCCCGCTCCCCCGCCCGGAGCCGCAGCCCTTTCTCACCTCCCGTGTTGCTGCGCTTGGTGCAGACCACCTCGGGGGGCGTTTCGAGGGGCCTCTTGCGGGAATCCGGGGCCTCGGGCTCCATGGGGGGGGGCCTGGGGCGGCGGCTGCTGCTGCTGCGGCGGCTGCGGCGGCGGCGGCGGAGGCTGCTGTGGCGGCGGCGACGGCTGCTGGGGAGGCTGGGGTTGCGGCGGCGGCGGCGGCGGGGGCGGCGGCGGCTGCGGGGCCGCGGAGGCCGTGAAGAGGCCGTGCACCGCGCCGGCGGCCATCATCCTCATGGTGGGGGGGGGGGGGGGGGGGGGGGGGGGGGGGGGGGGGGGGGGGGGGGGGGGGGGGGGGGGGGCGGGTCTCGGGGGGCTGACAGAGCCTGGAGAGCGGCTGTGAGCAGGATGGCAGGGCCCGGGGGGTCTCCGAAAGGGCCGGGAGAGAACTGAGGGGTGGGGTCTCTCCTGGAACCACAGAGGCTGGGGACTGAACGCGCCACTGGGGGGACGGGAACCCCCTCTCTTCTTGGCTCCCCGGGGCAAGAGGGCCGAGCCCCCCAAACCCTTCTCGGGGTGGGGGGCCGGAGGAGCGTGGCCGGAGGTGGGAGGTGGAGGCGGCCGCTAGTGGGGGCCCGGGGGGGCGGCGGGCGCGGTCGGTGGCAGCGACGGGGCTGGCGGTGGCTGCTGGCCCGAGCATCTTCTTCCCGGAGGCTCCCACAGCGCCTGGCCCCTCCTACCTCGCGAGGTCACGCCCATGCCGGGTAGGGCCACGCCCTTCGGCGCCCCCATTGGTCCATCCTTGAAGCCTGGACCACGTCTCTCGGAGTTGGCCACGCCCCTCCCGGCGGCAGAGATCTGGACCGGACTCCCCCAGGCTGCTGGGGAGGAACCCGGACTCCTCCAAGCCGTCCCGACTCCTCACCTTGAATGAACGTTTATTGAGCACTTACTGTGTGCCAGGTCCGGTTCCAAGCAAGCACGTCACAGACGTTATAGCATTTAATCCCCAGAACGACCAGCTCTGTGAGGTACACTTATTATCCTTATTTAACGGATGAGGAAACAGCTTTGGGAACTTACTTGAGTTCACCTGGTCAAGATAAGAAATTTTGGCTGGGTGCGGTGGTTCATGCCTGTCATCCCAGCACTTATTTGGGATGCTGAGGCGTAAGAATCACTTGAGCCCAGGAGTTTGAGACCCGCTGGGCAACAACAGAGTGAGACTCCATCTCTACCAAAAAAAAAAAAATTTTTTTTTTTAGTTAGCCGGGCGTGATAGCACATGCTTGTAGTTCCAGATACTCTGGAGGCTGAGGTGGGAGGATTGCTTGAGCCCAGGAGTTTGAGGCTTCAGTCAGCCATAATCAAGCCAGTGGATTCAATTCTGGGAGACAGAGCAAGACCTTGTCAAAAAGAAAGAAAGAGAAAGAGAGAAAGAAAGAGAAAGAAAGAAAGAGAAAAGAAAGAAGAAAGAAATAGAGAGAGAGAAAGAAAAAGATTTCGCTCACTCTTTCAATCCTTTCAGCTGGGAAATTCCCCTTCAAATCTTTCATCCATCCTTTGAAGAATCAACACCGTGATGCTGAAAGGGCTCAGAGGACTGAATTCACTGAGCTGAAGTTGAAGCTTGCAGCACCAAGCCTGGGGGACACCTGGCTCTCCATTCAATCAACAGCCCTTAGAGCCTACCTACTAAGCGCCAGGTACTGTCCCTGATGCTGCTATACAACAGGGAACAAAACAGACTTGGCCCTTGTACAGTATAACTATTCATGTCATTAAGAAAAATTGGTTTTCAGATGACAAAGTGGAGGCCTGGGAACATCGAGTATGGCTTGTCCAAGGGCACACAGCTTGAGAGAGAGAAACTGGGATCTGAATGCAGGACAGGTCCAATTTCAGACCCCGAAGTCATTGCAACTAGGGGCCCTTCTTTGGAATGGACCATTGCTAATATTCTGTGTTCTTTGATATAAGAATTTTCTTCTTCCTGGATTCCTAATCTCCAAGGAATCTTTCTTTCCTGGGTTGGTCAGAGGCAAGATTAGGCTCTGAGGGGGTCTGGATGTGGGTAATTGTGGCCACTGTGGGATCTGTGGCAGGGGGATCAGCTCTAACCCGCCCCCTGCTTCTCCCTTGCTATGGTCTCAGGTCCCCAGGATGGGGGGGTAGCAGATGGCCTGGGGTGGATGGGGTGACTACCCATCTGTCCCCTCCCCCTCATTGTCCCCAGAGACAAGGGGGATGGGAAGGGGCTGTGGTCCACTGCAGTCTGGATCCTCCCCCTCCATCTTCCTGGAGGGAGCGGAGGAGCTGGTTGCCATGGAGACGAGGAAGAGGCAAGAGAGATGTAGGGACATACTGGGGGTCAGGCTGAGTTCCACACCTTAGTCACTTTGAGTTAAATAGCCTCACACCACACAGGAACATATCCCAACATCCATGAAGTTAGCTGTGAAGTTTCCCCTTCTGTGTGCCACACACGGAGTCACACTGGCCCTGCTGCAGGTACACAGGTGCACCATCTCAACACAGTTTCACATAGACACACTCACAGGGGATAGGCACAGACACACACACACTCATACATACTCATCTGTAATGCACATTCAATCATGCAGATGCAAAGCCACAACACAGGCTCTCATGCACAAATAGACACACACATCTAATATGCAGGTACGCCCCAGGTGCTCATATTCAGAGCCATGACAGCTCCACACTTGGCCCCACACACACTGAAAAGTTACAAATCCATGATCAAAGCCACAGGACATCCACTGCCTATGTTACATAAGACATATCAGCAACATGTGATGTACAGACTGACGAACAGACTCAGTCATGCCTTGCACACAAATTGGGTAAACACACACATTTAGATACACGGCCCACATAGGCTAACACACACAATAACCGGACTTCACGGGCCACTCAGTGACAAGCACAACACACATGGAATGCTGTGTGCCACTCAGCCCCCATCCCCAAGTCATGCCTGCAGCCCCAACCCTGCGCTCCCCCTTCGAGCCCTCCCGTTTGGACACACGCAACAGCACGGTCGGTCACGCACTCACACTCACACACAAACACAAACCTCCTGCTAGATATTTTTAAACCCAGGCTAGTTCTGCTGCCATGGCAACCGCCCCAAACCCATCACCATAGCAACCCAACGTCAGCTTTCCAAGCACCAAATCCTGGGGGACTGCAGGGCCCCAATCAGAGGCTGGCGGAGGGGGCTGTTGCACCCTCACCATCATCCATGCCACCCCTGCGTCGCCACCTCAGAGCTTTCAGGGGAGCAGTCACCCTAGTCTGGGCAGAGGCCAGAGTCAGGAACAACAGAGACTCAGACCAAGCTGGGGTAGGGGCATCCCTGAACTTGCCTTTTCCTTCCACCCTGGCAGGAGCTGTATGGAGGAGCCCAGTGGAGTGAAGGTCAGCCTGCACAAGCCTGGGTTTGAGTTCTGGCTCTGCCACTTACATGCTGTGTGACTTGGGCATGTCCTTACCCTCTCTGAGTCTCGCATTCTTTAGTTTGGAAAATGATGCTGTTAATATCCCCTTTATTTTTATTTTCATTTTTGGTATTTTTAGTAGAGACAGGGTTTCACCACGCTGGCTAGGTGGGTCTCGAACTCTTGACCTCAGGTGGTCCACCCACCTCAGCCTCCCAAAATGCTAGGATTACAGGCGTGAGCCACCAGCCTGGCCAATACCCCTTTTAAATGACTGTTATGATTTGGTGGTTAAAAGTCCAGGCAGATCTACCTCCAGAGTCTGGCTTTCCCACTTAGCCATGTGAACTCAGGCAAGGGCCTTCTCCTCTCTATGACAAGTCTCAGGGGTAAATAGTCCAACTACATTGGGCTGCTGGGAAGACTCCCTAGCCAAGGGGTATGGCCACTGTCCTAAGAACTCTGCATGTATTCTAACTTATTTCAGTCTTAAACATGGCTTTACGGGTAGATTACTATTCTCATACCCATCTTTCAGAAAAGGAAACTGACACCCAGAGAGCTTGTCTAGTGTCACATAGCTACAAAGTTTAGAAGGATAGGAGGCCGAGGTAGGAAGATCACCTGAGGCCGGGAGTTCAAGACCAGCCTGGCCAACAGGGGGAACCCATCTCTACTAAAAATACAAAAATTAGCCAGGGGTCATGGTGCATGCCTGTAATCCCAGCTACTCAGGAGGCTGAGGTACAAGAATCACTTGAACCTAGGAGGTGGAGGTTGCAGTGAGCTGAGATCGCGTCACTGCACTCCAGCCTAGGCGACAGAGAGAGACTCTGAAATAAGACTGAAATAAGAATACATGCAAAGCTCAAAATTCTTTAATTTGATAAAGAGGGCAGTTTGGAGAGGGGTGATGGAATAGTGGAGCCTTGGAAATGCTTTCTAGCTTTTGTTTTCTTGGATAAAAGGCCTCAGTCTTCTAGCCTGCAGAATGGAGATTGAAATGATTCTGTTGGCTGGCGTATAGGGAGGATCGATGAGGCAGTTTGCACCTGTTGGGCTCTGAGGATGGGCTGGCACCCCTGAGTGCCTTTGTAGGTGCAGAGCAGATCGGAAGGGGCTGGGCAGGTGGGCGCATGGGCAAGCATTACCTGTGTGGACTCAGGAGGGAGGCTTGCTTTGGCCCAAGCTCAGCTTTCCCAGCATGGTGATCTCAGGCATGGGCTGTCTCTGGCTTAAGCCTCAGTCTCATCATCTGTCAAATGGGAACCCATGACCATACTCAGGGTGTGACAAGGAGTCCGTGAGCCAAGCAGGCAAAACCACTTGGCACAGATCTCAGCAAAGAGATAAATCTGAGCTGCTATTAATATCATCCATCCACTCAGTATACAGGATTTAGGAGAGGCAGGACTGCAAACTATCTTGCAGGGTTTTTGCAAACTTTGTTGACTCACAGTGAGAAATACACTTACATCATGATGCAATGAATGTATTAGGTTGGTGCAAAATTCATTGCGGTTTTTGTCATCTAAGGCAATGGCAAAAACCGCAGTTACATTTGCACCAACCCAATACAACTGAAATAAAAGTTTCATGAAGCCACGCTTCATGCCTATCTTAGTCTACATTATTTCGACACTACATGCACAGACTCTGATTTTTTTTTTTTTTTTTTTGACACGGAGTCTTGCTCAATTG